GCCTCTCACCTTGAAATGATCCCAAGAGTTACTCTCCTTCTCCTACTGCTGGCTCTGCTGTTTCCCCCAAGGGGCAACCACTGATGTCTTATTTTCTTATTGCCAACTGCTTCTAGCTCTGATTTCAGTTTCTTACACTTTTTTTCCCTTTTAGTTTGGCTTGTTTTCTTGTCCTTGGAGATAGCACTTTTTTTTTTTTTTTTTGCGATTCCAGTCTTGCAGTAAATTGTATGGAGTAATAACCGATTCATTTAGCAGGATTTTGCGTAATTATTTTACATTTCTTCTAGGTAGGGGTTCAGTATGGTGTAAGCTAACAGACATATGATAGAACAACAAAGGGAAAACTTTAAATTTCTGCAGAGAATAGGGAATCCATACACACAACTTCAAACCAGCATCCACAGGGACTTTGTGGCCACTCTTTGTAGTGGTTCTAATTTAGCCAGATTTTGATTGCATTATTTAGCTGTACTGCAGAAGCCTCCATTGAGTTTTCCGTCTTTTCTCTCTATGCCTTAGTTGGGATATTTTCTATTAATTGTCTGTTTTTAATCCTCACCCAAGGACATTTTTTTTTTGCATTGCTTTTAGAGAGAGGGGAAGAGAGGGAGAGAAACAGTAATGTGAGGAACATCTATTGGTTGCCTCCCATACATGCCTGGACAGGGGATTTGCATGCTCCAGGACTGGGGATTGAACCTGTAACTTTTCAGCGATGGGATGATGCTCCAACCAAGTGAGCCTCACCAGCCAGGGCTTATTTTAAAATTAATAGACTGTAGATTTAATTTTAATTTTAGGTTTACAGGAAAATTGAACAGAAAGTAGAGAATTTCCATATTCTATACTGTACTATTTTGCTACCAACCCTTCACTTTTGAAGTAATTGAAAACAAAATACCCAGCTACCAGGTCCCAGGGGATGGCTCTGTGTGTCATTTCAGGAATAGCCCTGTCTTTCCTAAGTTCGCTTTCATTCTGCCATGTATTTGTAATGGAGTAGTGGCATCATGTCACATTTTGGTTGTTTATGCCTTTGTAAATGGGACTAATAATTATACTACGGAATCATAAGGTTGCTCTGAAAATTAGATCAGCATGTAAGTAATTAGAATGGCACTTGGCATTAAGACACTCTCGATAAATGTTAAATAGTATTTTTATTAGCTCTGACTTAGAAATAAGAATGTGTAAATGTTGCCAGCTCTTTTTAGGTGTGATGTAACCATCAGAATACCTTTGGGTCCTCTGAATGCAACACACTTTGGGACGTTGACATAATTCCCTGTTCACCATAAAACCTTCACTGATGACTATAACCTCTAGTGATCTCTCCTGTCCCAGATTTTTGTCTGCTGTCCACAGTGTTCTTTAATCGTACACTGCACAGTTTACGCCATGGTTGCTGGCAGGTTTTATCTCTGGCAGCATCTGCAATCGTGCTGGGCATTCAATAGGAGGTGTTCCTGTCTGGAGCCTGCAGAAGCATCCTCTCTCCCTCAGCATTGTTTAAAGTTGGCCAAGACTTGAAAGCCTCCACACGGCCATGCTGCAGAGTTGGCAGGCTCCTGTCCCACCCTCCTTCCTCAAGCTGGGCGCTGCTGAGGCTTGGGCAGTGAGATGTACGCCGGGAATTTCTCTCTGCAACACCTTCGCTGAGAGCTATTAGCATGATGTGCCATTATTCTCCTTGGATTGGATTTTCTCAAGGATTCAGCAGCAGGCGCTCCCCAAGTGGCCCATGATTGAAACAGAATGTTGGGCAAGAGTCTGGTGTGAAAATCAGCAACTGAAAATAGGCTGCAGTGTGTGAGTCACCTAGAATCAGTTCTAAGAGCTACCAGCACTTAAACCATTGATCAGTTTTGCCATCCAGGGGATGAAATAACTGTTGAGTGGAAAAGTGATCACCCGGAGAAAGAAGGCAGCTGGAAAAGGCAGAGAGAATTCCTGAAGGTTTTTGTGAAACCCAAACAGGCACTGTTAAAAATGCAAAATGTGCCCTGGCTGGTGTGGCTCAGTGGATTGAGTGCTGGACTGCAAACTGAAAGGTCACTGGTTTGATTCCCAGTCAGGGCACATGCCTGGGTTTCAGGCCAGGTCCCCAGTTGGGGGGTGGGGTGCAAGGGGCAGCCAATCGATGTTTCTCTCCCTGTCTTTCTCCCTCCCTTCCCCCTCTCTCTAAATATAAATAAAATTTTTAAAAAATGCAAAATGCTGGGCCCTGTCCCAGACTTGCTAACTCTGAATCTTGATAGGTGGCCTGGAATCCTCAGTTTTTATAAGCATTCCCCTAGTGACTGATGCAATGGTCTTCCATCTGTGTGATGAGAGACACTGATTTCAGAGGAGAGGCAAGTCAACTGAACCAGCAAAACCTGCTGGGATTTTAGGAGGACTGTCTCAGGTAAACAAAGAAGAGGAGCACGAGAGAAAAGGGTCCAAATCAGACGCAAACCAATTACTTACAGTTTAATGTCAACCGTGGGGCCAGTCACTTGCTAGCCATTGCTCTCAATCCCTGATATCATAACCATCTGTAACAGTCAGGACTGAAGTAGATGAACTGTGTAGTAATTTGAACAGGAATAAAATAAAGAACTATTAACCATAATAATTACCTACAGGGCAAAGGGAAGACTCTAAAAATGCTGAAATAATAGGCAGGGAGCAGCCCCTCCAAAGTACTTCTAGGTTGATCAAGGCAGAACACAAAGGCAGGCACAAATCTGGAAGCATTTTCACCTGTCAGGAAGTGCAGACCTGTGCTGTACTTTCCAAGTCCTCTGCTCCAGGTGAGAGTTTCACAGGGCTTTCAAGCAAAGGATGACTGGTCTCACCAGACATCGGAGAGCAAGCTCCTTCCACTGCCAAGGGAGGCTCAGGGTGATAGAGGTGTTCAAGATTGTCACTTTCATCTGGGCCCAAGCAGATGTCCCTATTTCAAGTTTTGGTATCCCATTCCTTCCCAATTAATGCCTTAACTTCACAAGAAAAATTTAACAAGACTGTAAATTCAACTAACATAGCAATTTAGCCCACAGAGAGTTGCCAAACATGCTGCCCATCATTGAAGAGCTAGCTGAGAGGCACACCCTGGAATCAGGGAGAAGAGAGCCCTTTCCTCTTCTTTTCCTCCAACACCCTCTACTGATGAAAACTCAACACCAGGCCAAATAGAAAAGCAGAAATGCTCCAGTACTTCGAGCAGGGTGGTGAAGGATGGGTTTGGAGCCGAGAATCAGTGAGTAATATTTGGCAACACACCGCACCTTCATTCTCTCTCCATGGTCTCTGACACCACCCCCTAATAAAAACAAGTCCTGCAAATAGAAACAAGGAAACCCAGGATGCCAAGATGCATCAAGGTTATCTTTCTAATATTACCTACTCACACATATCTAGGATGTTCAACAGTTTGCCCAGGATTGTCTTGGCTTTAGCACTTACAAAGTCCTGCGTCCTGGGAAACCCCTCCACCCCAGACAAATGAGAACAATTTGTCATCCTACATGTGTCCAGAAGGTTTTCAAATGTTCTATGTATGAGAATCACCTTAGGCACTTGGTAAAAATACAAGTGATTCTGTTAAAGATGCAGCAATTTTGGATGCAAGCGGGCTATGTATTGATTTTTGAAATTTTTACTTGGCAAATGCTACTAGGGATTCCTCAATCCAGACTTCTTTGTTCCTGTTCCAAAACTATAACCACTGAGAAAGAAAGAAATATCCTTTGGAAGATACAGCCAAGGTTCCTGAGCCAAAAGCAGACACTGGCAAATTATATACTAGTTGATGGGGATGGGGGATAAAAATTGTAGTCCGGCTTTAGCACTTTTCTCTCAGTTGCAGGATAAATAATTTTTCCTTCAATGTCACAAGACATAACAAAGAATAATGGATGCTGTGAAAATGAGATTTGATAGTAGCAACAATACAGGTACATTGATGGAGTACACTGAGCTTCCTGCAGGTACGCAGTATAAATAATGAGTCTAATTTTAAAGACTTTTACAGTGACTATGCTTTAGTAAATCTTAAAGAATAACTTGCACAAAATAGTTAATTCGGTGCTCCTTTTGCTATTTTCACACTGTAAGATACATGGTTTAACATGGCCACTTCAAAGATGTTTCTCAAGAACTCAGATGAGGGGAAGGCACTCTTAACATCTGAGTTTCTGTGTACCAGATATCGTGCTAAATTATTTAAATACACTATCTCACTTAATACTCGCAACAGGGGCTATGCCAATTTTATATAGAAGGGGAATACTTGCCCTAGATTATACACATAGTGAATGCTGGCGTCTGGACTGAAACTTAGGTCGGTTCACTCAAGCGTAATTTGCTTAGCCCTGGAGAGCAATGAAGAGTAAGGCGTGGTTCCCCGTCCTTTTGTAAGTGCTACTGACTGAGGTATGCACAGCCTGCATTGGGAACACACAGGAGGTACATCTTATTCTCTCCACGGCTTTCAGGATAAAATTCAAATCCTTTCGCTTGGCGCCTGGTTCCCCAACTCCCTCCCCCTTCCACTAGCTGGGAGGGAAAAGATGCTGGGAAGTCTTCAGTTGGCAGGGGTAGGGGGGTGAAATCCGGAGGGACCTTGGCCTAGGGAACACGTCTCCATTCCCACGTTCGCTGTATGCTGGCTCCTCGCGGTGCCCCACGTAACCCTCAAACCCTGCGCTCCCCTCCCACCCTGACACCTTCAGCGAAGCGGCCCTCCGAGAGCCGGGAACGCGGGGCTGCCCGGACTCCAGAAGATGGAGCCGGAAGCGTCTGAGGTGGCTGTGCGTGATGTAAGAGGAAGTGCCCGCTGCCGCGGTCTATGACTGGGAGCTGCTGGAGTCTGTGCTGCCCTCTTAAGGTTCCCCGGACCGCTGGCGGCGGAACAGGTCCGCGGCTAGAGTTCGCCCACCGGAGCGGGCGCTTTGTGGATCTGCGCGCCCAGCTCCGCGGGCAGGTGCGGCTCGCCGGTTTACCGGTGGGTGCTTGGGGTCGGCGGTGTGGGGACCGCCCTGAGGTCCTTCCCCACGTGGCCTCCGAGACCTCGTTTGAGCCTCCTGGAAGAGAAGGGTCTAAAATAGGGAAAGTTGTTAACCCTTGTTGAGGACCAGCCTCTTTCACCTGTCAGGCTCGTTTAATCTGCCATTTAACCGTGAGAGAGAGATTGGTTTCCTGTTTACAGAGAAGGAAACTGAGGCCCCAAAAGGTGAAGTCATTTGCCACAGATCATACAGCTGGGAAGTGACAGATCTGGATTCAAAGCGAGGCTTGGCTGACGCCAGAGCCCTTGTTCTTTGCCCTGCTGCGGGGTTGTCAAGCTTTATCTGGGTAAAAAATCCGGGAGTAGAGGCTGGAGTTAGTTCCTGGGGCCCCACGAATTCGGTAGGTCTGGGGTGGGGCTCTGCAATCTGTATTTTCAACAACTGTCCCTGGACATAACATATCGCTGACCCGTGAACAGAGCAAGAAGTATAGCTAATTGTCGTGTTAAGCTTTTAAGGCCTCAATCGAGAGAGAAAGTCAAAGAAGGGCTGCTTTATACGTCTTGTGGGATTGGAGAGTTGACATTTGATTCTGCCATTAACTCTTGGTGGATTGATTGGTTGGTTGGTTGGTTGGTTGGTTGAATGATTGAAGCGGGGAGGGAGAAAGGGAGAGATACATGTGTGAGAGAGAAACATCAGTTGATTGCTTCTCACATGCGCCCTGACGGGACAGAATCCCCAACCCAAGCATGTGCCCTTATTAGGTATGGAACCCGCAACCCTTTGCCGGGCATGCGCAACCAACTGAACCACGTGGGCCACGGTAGCCATTAACTCTTCGGGACAGGGGGCAGCCTCTATCATCTCCCCACTTATTAAATGAGAAGAATTACATACTTACTACCTGGGGAATTTGTTAAACCACAGATTTCTGGGCCCAGCCCAGCTCTACTGAGTCAGAAGGTGTCGGGGGGTGGGCCCTGGTAATTGGTACGCTAAACAAGCCATAAAATAAGCTCGTTGTCTTTGAAAACCTGAGATGGGAAACTTTCTTAGGGAGACCTATAAAGAATGGATCAGAGTTTCAAAACATGGCCTAAACCTCCCTGATTTGTTTTTTGTCTGTCTGTTTTTGTAGCTCTGCGTGCTCCTGTATTTGCTGTGAACTAAAATTTTATTGATAAAAATGTCAAATTAGTATTACATTACTGACCATTATGAAATGGATTTTTCAATTAGCTGAAGACTGTAACTTAAATTTGAATGGTAATACATCTGCTGTTGATTTCACGAGTGACTTTGGGTGAGGCACTTAACCTTGTGGTCCTCATACATATCTGCTTATCACCATCTCCTACAATGCTTGTTAGACCTGTATTGATCCTGCATCAGATATTCTGAGACAGCCCTTGGATGTTGTTAACAAGTTTCCAGGGAAGTTTGATTCAGCCAGTGATAATGGGCTATGGAAATCTTCTTGGAAACTGAGTCTTAGCCTATTTCTCATTTTCCACGTAGGTGGAGTATTAGTTTCCTTATGTTCTGCTCTTGGGGACTAATAAGAGTACTGTGGTTTATAATCCTGGTTTTAGAATTTCTTAACGTGCACTTTTTTGTGAATGAACTGAAAGCACTGTAAGAAGATTGCAAAAGGTTAACCTTAAAGCCAGCAGCCCTAAGTCTTAGTAGGCCTCTCCATTGAGATGTGATGACAGATGGTGGTTCTATATAGAAGCTCTGATTGCTATTGAGCAGTCTCTGTCTGAAAGGATTTAATTGCCCCTTAGTAGTGCAAGTTCTCACAACTCCAACTAAAAGCATATTTTTTTTTCTTTAAACAGATAACCACTGTGGGTTCATATCAGGAATGAAATCTGAAAGCTAAGAGCAGAAGCCCTTCTGGTCAACATGGAGGACAAGAGACGGCGAGCCCGCGTGCAGGGAGCTTGGGCTGGCTCTGCTAAGAGCCATGCTGTTGCTCAGCCAGGCAAGAACCCATGGGGATCCCGTGCTTGTGGATGTGGACAGCTATCACCCTCTTTTACTTATATCCCTTTGGTTTATAATGGACTCCTATTTCAATGTTTAGGAATTATTTAAAATGTGGCTCATATTTTTTTTGTGAATTTGTTGACTGTGAGCTAAGGGTTGACCTTTAGTGTTCCTCATAGTTACTCACTACACTCAGACCTTTCAGTATGTGTGTTGAGCGTGTTTGGTAGATGTGTTTGTGGTATCAAACACACTTGTGTTTGGTTGTTTGGTAACCTTACTAATTAATTTGTAGATGTTGTGGAGGTCATCTCTGAGTGGATTTCATTGGTCCTTGCTCAGTAGAAGGCGATGAGAGCAGATTTTCCTCTGGTTTGAGCTGTTTTCTCTCTCTTGCTTCAGCTACCACTGCTAAGAGCCATCTCCACCAGAGGCCTGGTCAGACCTGGATAAACAAGGAGCATCATCTGTCAGACAAACAGTTTGTATTCAAAGAACCCGAGCAGGTAAATTCTGGTTTATCCTTCAACAGTAACAAAGATTTATTTATAAAAGTTATATTCACATAGTAGACACATAGTGACTGAATGAATTCACTAATAAAAGGTAAGTTAAAGGCCTATAATAATGAAATGCAGAGTATCAATTTCTTAGTATGTCTGAGGATTCTTTGTAGTCTGCCCCCAAATTATAGGCATATATTATTCCCCCTTTTTTTTTTTTTTTTGGCACAGAAGCTATACCATGATTAGAGGGCTTTTCTTCCATGGGGAAAAATGTAAGAAGCAGTGAAGATTCACTGTTTTTAATAAAGTGTAAAAAAGAGTTAAAAATCAGCCGTCATGCTGTAGCAGCTATTTTTGAACCTTTTTCATCTCATGGCACATATAAACTACTAAAATTCTGCAATACAGCAAAAAACATATTTTTTGTCAATGTGACAAAAAAGGGTATAATTTTGATTGAGTTACAAAAAATAGTAATAGTAATTACGTACCCTTTTTGCTCCAAAGTGACTTTTTAAAGAATCAGGTGCCTATATTTGTATATAAGGATTTCTGGTACCAAGAATTAGCCAATCAGATGCAACCTTATGCGACGTGACCAATAAGATGTATGTTTATGGTTCAAGACAACATTCACTCTGACAGGTATTACTGTGCTGGCTGTTGTCACTTTTTTAATTTGACAGTCTAAGGGAAAGGAGGTCAATGTTTGCATGTTTAAAAAAATTGCAACACACTGGTTGAAAATTGCTATGCTATAATAATGATTTCATAAACAATGATTCAAACCCCTTCGTAGAATATCTTCTATTTTTAAAAAGCTCCTGGAAAAGTTTTTCCAGAGCTGCTGACTCTCAGAAAATGGATTAATTCCAATTGCATCATCTTTTAACACTCGTGAGTAACTATAAAGTAGTCCTAAGAAGAGCAGGAACAAGGGTTTCTGGTGGGATAGTAAGAGCTTGGAAGTAAGAAAAGGATAGTGTTAAACCTCATTTATTTTGACGAGAAATGAGAGGATCTGGTAGTCCTGCAAGTCGGCCTCCCCGAGGATGAGGAGCCATTCCAGAGTAAGGTCTGCCTGTTTCCTTGCAGGTCGTACGCAATGCCCCCGAGCCACGAGTGATCGAGTAAGTAATGTGCTGCCTTTCTGAAACTGTTGCCCACACTGAAATGGAGAGCCCAGAATCTTTCCCTCAGCCTGGTTTTTCCAAAGTCTGGAAGAGATAACAGCTCAATTAGTTTCTTAATTGTAGACTGAGATATTCTTATCTCAGATGTATTTAACCTTAGTCTTTTGAGAAGCCAATTTCTGAATTTACTAATGATGTGGAAAATGCAAGAAGATATCTGTACATTACACTACGACTCTGGTGTAGATTTCCTGACCCTATTTCACTAAGGTACCTGCAGACTATAAGCTAAATTATCTCCTAGGTTAAGACTGAGTGGTATTTTTCCTGAGTCATTGAAACGTGGCTCTTTGAGAAGACTTTAGGTACAGTGTTACTACCAGTGCTTATGAAAGCTGCTAGAAATCTAGATAACCTTACAGTCTATTTCTTAAAACCACCTAATTTTTCCAGAGCAAGTAAATGATAGTAAATATTCCATTCCTCTTACATTAATCTGTGTCTGAAATTTGTTTTTAATTATTGAAAGATGCTTTAATTCCTCTGCTTTTCAATTTCCATCTGATGTACATAAATTGTTAGTAGAAAGCATCTCTTTATTTTAGCAGTTTAGCATTAGGCTTATGTTATTGCATATGAGCAGCCTGTTAAGCTGTTGGCTTTTAATGGTTGACTTGTATATCTTAGGAATATTTGAAACTAACAGAGGTGTCATCATACTTTCAGAAACAGTATGTTGTGGCCTTGCCACTAGTTAGCCATGTAACTAGTCTTTAGGTAATTTATTGCCATCTCTCAGTACCATCTTTAGTTACCTTGTCCCTAATATTAAGGGTTTGTACTACTTAATCACTTAAGGCCCAGAAATACCAACGTGATATTGCCTCCATTGGCGATAAAGAGAATAAACAAAACCATGAGACCCATTATAAGGCACAGATGGGACATTCAGGCTGAACAAATGGGCAATTGTGAGTTTGTAAGTCAGAAGCTAAATGGCAGAACTCATTCCTTGCTTGACCCTAGGGTTTGTTAATTTTGGTTATCTAAAGTTAGCTATGCCAGATTTGTTTTTGAATAGCTAGAAAAGTGGCTCACAGTTGAAATGAGCCAGCTTCACAATGTAGCACAACATTTATCACATTGAAACATTGTATTCATGCTCCCGGAAACTTCGAAGGCAGCACTTTGGAAATGTGATACATACGATACATATGACCCTAGTTCTGCCTACAGAGGGGCTGGCACATCTACTTAAGAGCCAGCTCAGAGATCGTAAACTACTGCCTCACATAGCAGAGGGTGATAATGAAAACCATTCCTTTACAGCATCTTCTGTAACTTCTCTCTTTCTGAGAAGGGTCTGACAGAGTTCTCTTCTCAGAGGCACCTGTCCAGGCAGGGTCACTTCCCTTTCATGGACCTCGCCACCCCGCACATCTGCAAGAGTTTTGTACTTTTGCACGCTTAATTAGATTCGCTTAGCTTTTATTGCCCAACTACTATGTGCCAGGTATGGGAAGCGCAATAACAACCCATTTCTTGCCCCTCAGTAGCCCACGGTCTAGTAAATGAAATGGACATGTAATCAGGTAAATTGGAATCCTGTGTATCATGGAATAGCAGATTTGTACGTAAGGTCTTATCGTAGCACAGAGGATGAGACGTAGCACAGAGGAGGAGACGTCAACCTTGGGGTGAACTAAAGGTCAGGAAGTGGATGCTGAGCTGAGATTTTGATGGATGAATTAGAATTTTCCACAGAACCACAGCTGGCTTGGGCTGATCTGGGGGTGCTGGGTGGAGGGGAGACATCCCCGCATGTAGAAAAACACCAGATTAGAACATGGCGGTGTACTCAGGAGATTCCAAGCAGTCACTGTTGCTGGAGGTGGGAGCTGTCGGGGGGTGGGGCTAGATTACGCGAACCTTAATGCAACGCTGAGAAGTTGGTGGGGAGCCTTTGAAGGACTTTAATCAGAGGTGGAGCCTCATTAGACATGTATCTGAAAGCAACAGACACTCAGAGCCCCTGCTCCCTGTTCATTGTATCCCTATTCCAGGGTCTCCAAAGGGGTGCTCTGTTTGGCACCCCTTCGTGTGATAGATTGCTGGACTCTATGAGCCTAAGTTGTGGATGAAATAGAAAGGGGTAGGATCAGAATTTATTTTATTGTAGTCTTCATCCCTGTGGTCTGATCCTGCCAGGATTCTACGACCGGTGCCATTAATGATGTGCTGCCATCTTGCCGCTTGCCTCAGTGGTAGAAGAGGTGGCGCTATGCTTGCCTCACCCTCACTGCACCCTCACTGTTAAATGACTTTGGTGAGCCAGGGCTTTGGGTATCCCAAAGGATAGCGCTTCCGCTCCGTGGACTGTGTTCCTTTGTTTGACATTAACAAGCCTGTATTCTTTGTTCCTTTAGCAGAGAGGGTGTACATGAACTCAGCCTGTTACCCACAGGTGTATCTAGGTAAGTGACATTAATCATTGTTTAAAACAAATTTTGAAAACATTGCCTTATGCATGAGTATACTAATTGTCACTATAAAATAATGAGGCATTTAAAACGAATCTATCAGAACTTACATATTTAGATGAATTGCTTAGAAGATGTCTCAGTACTTAGCCCAGAGGTGTTGCTATTGTTACAACCCTTTTGGAACCTCCCTTTTAGAACAAGTTTAACAGTCACACAAGGAAACCAGTCGCATTATTTTGGTCACATGTTATTGTGAACCAGGCGTGGCTTAAGGTGAGCTTTGGCTCTTTCAAACACCAAATGCATCTTCAAAGAGTAACATTGAAGAGAATGTTCCAAGGGCTTTCAGAACATTTAGTAAGAAGGATCTCCAAAATGATTTTGAACTGACTTGGCACTGTTAAAATGTATATATTCAATGAGAGAAAGAACCCTTACTTGGATATTTTAATTGTAATACAATTATAAATGATTGTTTTCCCCACAATTGGCAAAGTCTCAGAAGGCTGTCGATTGTTAAAATATCACAGGGCCAGGCATTATTTATTTTACTTTGCACAGTGACCCTATGAGGCGGATCTCAACTTCATGCTGAGATGACAAAAACGAAGGTTCGGAGGTTAAGTAATTTGCGCAAAGTTTCACAGCGAAGCAATGCTGGAGCAATACTTGAACTATGTCTGTAAGAGCTCTCATGAATCCCCTTCTCCCTCATGCTTGTTCTATTTGTATCAACACTGAAGGATTTTATTTTCCGTCCAGAGCATCATGACCTGGGTGATGCTAGGCTCTGCTTACTATGGGAGGGGTGGGACCCACGAAAGGAGGAAGCGTCCAGACTAATTTACTCTTCTAACAGAGTCTATAGCCGATCTTTTCTGTGTTCTTTAGTTAATAACAGTTCTTTCTGCTTCAAGGGTACGTTTGTATCGTGGCTTTGTTGACTCAGAAGAAGCCGACCAGATATTGGAACAGCTTTGTCAAGATGTTCCCTGGAAGCAGAGGACCGGCATCAGAGAGGGTAAGTCGATCACGGAGACTGCAGTAGTTGCTCCCTGGTCTCCCAGTGTCTGCAGTGTTTTCTAATACCGTTGCCTCTTTCACCGCAGCCAGGTTACACAGAGGTTCAAAACCTGGCGGAGGCCCCAAGGATGAGTAGCAATCAGCCAGTCAAAGGGGGCACAAGAAATCACAGCAGTACTTGGAGAGAGCATGGCAGGAGAATGGGGTGGGGATCCAAGGAACCAAAGAGAGATCGGGTTGGCTGAGCTGTGATCGACATACTTATGTGCCTTTGTGTTTGTTCACTACCTTTATCACTTCGAATGGTGCCAGCTTTCCTCTTTCTTCAAGAAACTTCCAGAGCTTTCTCTTTTTCTTTTTCTTTTCTGATTCTACTTGGCACACGTTGTTTTGCAAAAGCCTTCCTACTGGCTTTTTAGTCTCTTTTTAGTTTCAGTGGAGGAGTCCAGTCTCCTGTAGCTTCAGTGTTCGTACTCTCCTGAGCTTGTAAAGACAACCTCATTTTGAACCTGCTGCTCTTGATTATCCGCAGACAACGGCACCTGTTATACCAGAGGTGGCCACTGGAGGGAGTCCGTGCTCTAGCATTCAATTCGTTTCCGGCCTATTAAGTGAATTTAAATTTTCTGTGAGGAGAGGCAAAGTATACTGGCTTCATTTGTGAATCAGACATCAGAATAAGAATCAGCTTTTTCTCCGCACTCCCAGCAGTTTCTGTAGCAGGGCTTTTGGTGACAGACTTGGCTTTAATTGCTATCTTATTCAAATTAGTTGTTAATTTTAAGGAAATTACAGTAATTTTCTAGTCTTTGGTTTTCTGATCTGTAAAATGGAGTTAATAATAATACCTACCTTATAAGGTTGTTCTGATAATTAAGTGAAGCAATGCATGGTAAGTACTTACCAGAATGCCTTATACCTAGGAAGCCTTCAACGAATGTTAGCTGCGTTTATTATTGTACTGATTGTTGTAGTGGTTGATACCAGTTGTAGGGGAAAGTAGCAGTTCTGTGGATAGCTCCTTCTCTAACAAAGCTGGACATAAAAGACTTCTGACTAAAATGAGCCACCTCCTGTGGTTGGTCAGCACCTTCCCTTCATTCAGCATCAAAGCAGCCTATACAGTAGGGGCCCCCGGGTAAACTGTTTGTCGTGTTCCTTGTATGCGTGTTCCTTGTATGCGTGTGAGTGCCGCAGGGTCTTACCTGCAAGATTCTGTACCCTGCTCTTCAGACCCTCCTCGTCTCTTGTTGGCTCCCTCACTCTGGTTTATGTCATAACCGACTCAAGTCGCACATTCTCACCGCAGAGCCTTCGCTCATTCTGTTCGTGCCAACGTATCTTCTTGTCTTCTTCCTTTTAAGCTCTTACCTATTCTCCTCTTGAAATCCCATGTCCCCCGTGAAGACGGAGCCTCGGGTCAAAGCCCATCCTTGCTCTGCCTTTGTATTTCTCAAAGCTTTTTGCAGAATGTGAGGCATAGTAGTTGGCACTCACTAGGTACACTGTAAATAGCATTAAACCATTTCAAAGGCGCTATATTTTCTTTCTTAGATGTGACTTACCAGCAACCAAGACTTACAGCATGGTATGGCGAACTTCCTTACACTTACTCCAGAATCACTATGGAACCAAATCCGCACGTATGTTGGAACGTTGTTCTTGTATTATATGGGTTTATAGACTTTTAACTATAAATGTAAAGTTCTATAAAGTAATAATAAAACACTGTACAGAGCTGCGTGATGGTTCCTAGCTCAGAAAGCCCTCGGGGCTCAAACCCTGATCCTTTGTGCTCACCACCATCAGTGTGCTTTTGATCTGTAGATGAGAGAAAACTGGAACGAGAGTCAACTGGAGTCAGACTCCAGGACTTCAGGAAAACGAACCATTTCTTCTCCTAGCCTCCGCTCCTCCCAGCATTTCTGGCTCTAGCCCTTCTGTGTCTACCCTGGTGCACACTGGCTGTGGGGCTAATGTCCTAAAGACTGGCCAGTGAGGTCAGGACGTCTCTTTTCATTTTTCAGGCCCTTTTGCCATTTGTGGGGGAAAAATGGTGTTTTTCTTGTTGACTTTTTATTTCTTCTATGGCTTTACTTCTTAGACTTCCAACTTAACGTGCTTTGGCTTGTTTCTCCTGCTTCTTTTATTTTTAAAAATTTCCATGACAGTAAACAAAGAGATTCTAGTATATAAATTGAACTTGTCCAGAGGATAGAGTTAAGATCCAAGAAATATCTCCCTGTTTAGTCCCTGGAACCTTGCCTTTGGCAAATAATATGCTTTATGGAAAAAGACTTGCAAGAAAATGGAGTTTTGCTTACAGCAATGGGATAAACAGAAATATGACATGACACATTTCAGAGCTTCTAATAATTTATAATCATAAACTACCACTTTACTAAAATGTTCATGGGTAAAATATTGGCTAGTGGTACGTGGCTTTTTTATATAAGAAGATAGCTCTCTGCTTTGGTTTCTAGGGCGGCATTTAGAGTGTGATCCAGAGAAGTGTTGAGACCTTTATGTCGGAGGTTGATTTGGAAACATGAAGAGAATTGAATTAGGTCAATCCAAGGCAGACTGCTGGATGTGTTTCTGTCAGAATTAATATACCCTTTTGTCAACAGTCATAGCAGAGGAGTTGAGGATTAAACAGGCTGTGGGGAAGAAGTTTTTTCTCATCGTTCTAGTTAATCTTTCAGAATAGGATTTTTCAACCTTAGTATTTCTGATTTTGGGCTGGATAATTCTTTGTTGTTAGAGCTGTTGTGTGCATTGTAGGATGTTTGGCAGTTAATCTGAATTTTACCTACTCGATACCCAAAACACCTCTCACCGAGTCGTGACAACCGAAAATAACTCCAGACATTGCCAAACATCTGCTGAGTGAGCAGAAAACTGCCCCTGGTTAGAACCACTGCTTTATAGTAAACATAGGGCACATAAGATCTGCTAAGTAGAGTGGCCTTTTATGCTTAGAGAACATTTTGACAACTCTTAAAGGGATTCCTTTTAATGACAATCTTTTATTATAATGTAAATAATATTTATTACTGAAAATTTAGAAACTGCAGGTAAGCATCAAAAGTACTAAAACATTAGATTATTATTCCACCTGATATTTTGGTTCTAGGGTGGTTTTTTTTTTAGGTAAATATGTGTAGAGAATAAAATAAAATATGTATACTACATTTTGAAAATTTAAATTTCATTTTTCAGTTACAATTTACATTTAACCTTATTTATTTTTTATTAGTTTCAGGTATACAGCATAGTGGTTAAACAGTCTTGTATTTTACAAAGGTTTGCCCTCATATTTCAAGTACCTGCTGGCACCATACATAGTTATTACAAAGTTAATGATTATGGACCCTGTGTTGTACTTTACATCCTGGTGACTATTTTTTGACTACCAATTTCGACGTCTTAATCCCTTCACTTTTTTTACCCAATCTCCCAACCCCTCTTCCCTCTGGAAACCATGTATCTGTTCTCTGTATCTGTAAGTCTGTTTTTATTTTGTTTGTTGTTTATTTTATTCTTTAGATTCCACATATAAGTGAAATCATATGGTATTTTTCTCTGACCGACTTACTTCACTGAGCATAATAGTCTCTAGGTCCATCCAAACTCTTGCTAATGGTAAGATTTTGTTCTTCTTTATGGCTGAGTAATATTTCATTATATATATGTATCACCACTTTTTATCCATTTGCCTACTGATGGGCACTTGGGTTACTTCCATATCTTGGCTATTATAAATAATGCTGAAATGGACATAGAGGTGTATATATTCTTTTGAGTTAGTGTTTGGGCTTTGTTTGGATATGTACCCTGAAGTGGAATCACTGGCTCATAAGCCAGTTTTATTTTTAGGAACCTCCATACCATTTTCCTAATGGCTGCATTAATCTGCAATTCAACTAACAGTGCATGAGAGCTCCCCTTCCTCCACATCCTTGCCAGTGTTTGTTGTTTGCTGATTTATTGGAGCCATTCTGACAGGTGTGAGGTAATACTTAGTAACTCACTGTGGTCTTCATTTGCATTTCTCTGATGATTAGTGACATTGAGCATATTTTCTTGTGTCTGTTGACCCTCTGTATGTCTTTGGGAAAGTGTCTGTTCAGGTCTTCTGCCCATTTTTTAATTGGATTGTTTATTTTTTTGGTGTTGAGTTATAGGAGTTCTTTATAAATTTTGGATATTAACCCCTCATCAGATGTATCATTGGTTAATATCTTCCTTCATTCAATAGATTGTCTTTTCATTTTGTTAATGGTTTCTTTTTTTGTGCAGAAGCTTTTTAGTTTGATGTACTCTCATTTGTTTACTTTTTTTTTTGTTTCTCTTGCCCTTGGAGATATATCAGAAAAAAATATTGCTAAGAGAAATGTCAGAGATTTTACTGCCTTTGTTTTCTTTCAGGAATTTTATGGTTTCAGGTTTCACATTTAAGTCTTTAATCCATTTTGAGTTTATTCTTGTATTAGTGTAAAAAGATGGTCTAGTTTCATTTTTTGAACGTATCTGGACAACTTTCCCAACACCATTTTTTTTGTTGCTTTTTAAAAAATTTTTTTTATTTTTCAAATACATTTGTCTCCATTTTCCCGCCATCACTTTCCCCTGCCCCACCCACCCCCACCTCCTACCCTCAATCCTTCCCCACTTTGGCTTTGTCCATGGGTCCTTTATACACGTGCCTTGACTTGACCCTTCCCCTTCTCTTCCCCATTACTCCACTCCCTCCTTCCCTCTGGTTACTGTTGGTTTGTTTTTTTCTTTCAATGTTGCTGGTTATATTTTTCTTGCTTGTTTGTTTTGTTGATTAGGTTCAACTTATAGGTGAGATCATATGGTATTTGTCTTTTACCGCCTGGCTTATTTCGCTGAGCATAATGCTCTCCAGTTCCATCCATGCTGTCATAAAAGTAGTAGCTCTTTTTTTCTTTCTGCTGCATAGTATTCCATTGTGTAAATGTATCATAGTTTTTTGATCCACTCATTTACTTGATGGGCACTTAGGTTGCTTCCAGCACTTGGCTATTGTAAATTGTGCCGCTATGAGCATTAGGGTGCGTAAGTTCCTTTGACTTGGTGTTTCCAAAGCCCTTGGCCAGGTTGCTCAGTTGGTTAGAGCATCATCCTGAATTGGCGTTTCGGGATTCTTAGGGTATAATGCTGGCAGTGGAATTGCTGGGTCAAAAGGCAGCTCCATTTTTAGCTTTTTGAGGGAATTCCCAGCTGTTTTCCACAGTGGCTGCATCAGTCTGCATTCCCACCAACAGCGTACACAACTTTTCTCCACAATCTCGCTAGTACTTGTTTGTTGATTTGTTTATGATGGCCATTCTGACCCGATGTAAAGTGGTATCTCATGGTGGGTTTAATTTGCATTTCTCTGATGGCTAGTGATGCTGAGCATCCTTTCATATGTCTCTGGACCATCTGTATGTCCTCCTTGGAGAATTGTCTGTTTAGGCCCCTTGCCCATTTATTAAGTGGATTGTTTGTCTACATGGAGTGGAGTCACCAGCCTCATTTATTGAATACACTGTCTTTACCCCAATGTATACTACATTTCTTTTAACTATATCACTAACATGTTTTAGTATCATTAAATATTGCTTTAAAGCATCATATTTAATAGCTACATAGTATTCTATAATCAATGTATACTCAAGAAAACTTCTAAGGTTGGATATGAAGGTTGTCAAATTAGAATTCTTTGATTTATTTTGGTCTGCTCATAATTTTGTCTTTATTGCTAATAGATTTTGTTTATTTATATACCACTTTGAACAAAAGCAAAAGACATGCCCCTTTCTCAGATTTTTTAAGGGGAATTCACTAATTTGAATATATGTGTGTGTTGGGGATGCTTGTTTGATTTTAAAATTATTACCTAGAACTCAATATTCCATAGCACAGGAGCAGATTCATTCATAGGTTATTAAACTTCCTTTTGTCTTTGTTCAGGCTAAGTCTTACCTGAACCCAACATATAAGAATGGAAGAGTGTCATGGCCAGCTGCAAGTCCCCCCAGCTTGATCTCTCCCTTCTCCTGTGGTAATTCTAGAGGCACCTCTGCGGTACCCCGGACTCTACAAAACACTCTTTGAAATCCACTGGATGGGTCCTTTTATTTCTGTGATTCATATTTTCTCAAGAGTCTTTTCCTCAAATGTCTTTTAAGGATAGAATGTCTTTGCTGAGCAGTGAGATGATGCTGAATTTTAATTTAGACATTCAGTTTTGAGGTATCTGCATGTAGAGTATTGGTTGGAAGTCTAAATTAATTCTCTAGTTCATTATCCTCTTTTTTCTCCCTTTTCTCCTTACTTCACCACCAAAAATAACCAAGAAAAAATATGTAGCCATTTAGAAACATAATGCAAACTTCGTGTTATCACAATGCTCAGTCCTTAAGCAAGTCAGGGAAGCGCTAATTAGTTTCTCAGTCACATTGCAGAAAAGCTGTCTTCCTCCTTTACATTCTTGTATTTCTTGTTGAGTATAAATTCTAGTGTCTGATCTTTATCTCCATGAAGTTAAGCTTGAAGCCATAAAATAAATAGGAAATACAGCTCGCTAACATTAAGGAATTTCACTTTGAAATTTATTCTCTTGAACATTGGTTAGATTACTAATGTTTCTGTTTTACTAACCTAAGTTCATGTTTGTTCTCATTGCTCTTTATTGTTTTAAATCCTCTGGTTAGAATGTAACGCTAATACCCCGTGACAAGGAATCCCAGCTTTTATCATGGTTGCCCTGTCACAGCAAAGTGGAGGGTTCCGGCATATCCCTCCCTGGCCGTTCTCCCCGCCGGTGGCCATGGGATATACTTACTAATTATGTTGCGCCTTCCGCAGCTGAGCAGTCGTTCCTTTACTGCCAGACTTAATGCATGGACTTTGGAAGGATTCTCTAATGCATCAGCTCTTAAAGTACAATCTTTTTTGGAAGGCCACAAGGTTAAACTATTTTTAAAATAATATTAAGACTGGATGATATTTTTTTCTGTGTTGAATTTGCGCTGATGGTGAATAAAAAAGTAATGGTGGATGAAACTTAGTTTGAATCAGGCGTTGTCATCAAACTCTACTAGAAACCATTGTATTCTTCGCATTTGTGCCCTTGCAATTTTTAAAAATGCTGGTTTCCTTCAAGAGCGTCCCTCGATGAAGCAGTAACATTAGTTTTATTAAATCTCAACCTTTTAGTACATGTCTTTTTCACAGTTTGAGGAAATGGGAAGTATGTGCAAAGCATTCCTGTTATAAGTCAAGTACGACGATTAACAAGAGAAAACACTTCTGTGATTGTGTAAGCTTGTAAGCTGTAAGCTGAACTGGCTACTTTTTCATGGGCCTTTTTTTTTTTGGAAGAACAACTGGCAAACACATTCATACTTGAGCATTTGGCAGGCATATTCTCATAAATGAGTGAAGTGAGTGTCACTTCAAAGAAAACAATGAGCAAGATTTATTACTAATAATAAAGATTGAGTTTTCAAGCAAAAATTAGAATTTTGGAAAAACTCATAAGCACCACCTTGAGCCTGACCTCTTCCCATTACTCTGCCTTTTCTGATGAGATCCATGGCAATGTTAATGGATATGATTTTTTTGATATTGTATAATGAAATGTGTCAATAGTTAGAAGATCTGCATAACTCAGTGAACCAATATTTTCCAGAGGACCAATGCTTGATGTTACAGAGTCATACAGGATTAAAAGAACCATTCAAAGTGTAAGATGGACCAGTGGATTTAAATATAACAATATGAAAAGTTTGTTCATAGAGTTTCAGATTCCACATTGCAACTGACTTTTAAGAAATCAGTACTTGTTGTTGCCCTGGCTGCTGTGGCTCAGTGGAATGAGTGAGGGCCTGCGAACCAAAAGGTCTCCAGTTTGATTCCCAGTGAAGGCACATGCCTGGGTTGCGGGCCAGGTCCCCAGCTGGGGGTGTATGAGAGGCAACCGATCTATGTATCTCTCGCACATCGATGTTTCTCTCCCTCTTTCTCTCTCTCCCATCCCCTCTCTCTAAAAATAAATAACTGAAATCTAAAAAAAAGAAATCAGTGCTTGTTGAGTTTTGGCGTGATATCAAATAATGTCTGTAATTATTTGAAAAGGCTATAAAAGACTCCTCTCTTTTCTAACTGCATATCTGTGTGAAGCCACTTTTCTCCATATACTTCCGCAGAAGAACGTACTGTAACAGATAGAATGCAAAAGAAGATATGCTAGTCAACTGTGTTCAGTTAAGCCAGACATTAAAGAGATTTGCAAAGCAGTGCCGTTCTTCTCACCAGTTTTTTGTATCAGAAAATATAGTTATTTTTTATAAAATAATATTTTGTTAACATGTAATGGGCTTGTTATTTTTTAAATGAATTAACGAATGGCTTACATTTTTTCAGCTTTAATTTTTAATATGGTAAATATCGTAGCTGTAACCCATATAAACCGAGTTCTGTGGGGTCCTTATAGGTTTTGATAGTGTGAAGTTTGAGGACCACTGCCCTAAAGGAAGCTCTATAAAGCACTTTAGACTTGTTGGGGGAAAAACATAGAATTCTAACAAGGGTCGGTACAAGCTATGCTGCTTGTAGCGCCAAAGTACAACCTAAGGTCAGGGGTCATAGTAAAGACAGTGATTTCTAAAGGGTAAACTACGTAAGTGAACTTGGTGCTCAGGAGGCAGGGCCGCGGGTCTGTTTAAATCTCCTGGACTTCACTCTTCAAGGCCGTGTCATGATTCCATTCTCTAGAAAGGAGTATTTTTCCCATATTGGGTTGCTTTTAGGAAGCCAGCCACCGTGGAAATATTAAATGTCTTTTTTCAAAAAGCAGTGCTGCCACTCACAAGAAAATAGGGATCAAATGAACAGAAGGCCATCCAGCAAGAAAGTTGTTTGCCTCCTCAGACTTTCGTCTGTGTTTGCGAACGACCTGGCAACCCATCAGCTGTGGTGGCAAACCAGGCTCACTGCTGCACTTACACCTCCTTATGGTCCTTCCACGGCGCCTGCCCTGAGTATGTTGACAGTTGCTTCTTTTTGAGGGTCATATATTTAACATGGAAAAGATGAGGTGGGCAGATAGGCCTGGTCCTCACGATGTTGTTATACTAAATTTAGTTCTTTAATAAAATTGCAGAGGTCAGTTTGATTCAAAATAGAAATAATGGGTGGGTAAACTACACTTCTTGCCTGCTGTTTGTTGCAGTCCAAGTGGTTTGCTTATTCCTTGCTCCTGTTTGTAATGTGACTGATTTTGCACTTTGTTTCTGTTTTTCCACGCGGCTGCCCCCTGTGTCTCTGCCCCTTTTCCTGGCCTGTCGGTTGCAGTGGCATCCTGTGCTGCGCACACTGAAGAGCCGAATTGAAGAGAACACGGGCCACACCTTCAACTCCTTGCTCTGCAACCTTTACCGAAACGAGAAGGACAGTGTGGACTGGCACAGCGATGACGAGCCCTCGCTGGGGAGCTGCCCTGTCATTGCTTCGCTCAGTTTTGGTGCCACACGCACTTTTGAGATGAGAAAGAAGCCCCTGCCAGTGAGTGCTCTTTTTCTTTTTCCTTTAATGTTCTTTCTCCCTCCTGTTATTCTGTGAAGAAAGTAGAGCTTCTGTTTTCAGGTTAAGAGGATAGGAGTATGTGGTTTGTTGATGAAACACTTTGAACCAATTGCTTGCCCCAAAGTGACCATTAGTTCATTTACTTATATAACAGATGTCGCCTGCCATGCGGCAAGAACCAGGGGCTCACTGTCATTGATGGGCAGGACAGACACAGTCCCTGTTCTCATGGAGATGGGGGTAGACAGATACTATTAATTACTCAAATAACTATAACTATGATGAATGCTCTAAAGGAGGACTTATAAAGGAATGGCCCTAGCTAGGCAGGGCAAGAAATGAAAGGAAGGAGCCTCAAGGAAGATGTTCCTGAAGAATCCTGACTTTTAAGTAAGTGTTCTGTTGCCCCGTCCCTGTGAGGGAGCATACCATGCATTCTCATGCCTTCTTAGCCTTCTCCTGAAATACTGGTGAACCTGTAATGCTTTCAGAGAGGAAAGTCAAGCCAGATCATCAGAGGTTGTGGTCTGTCCAAGTGCAGGTGGAGAAGCAGCGACTAATCTGACTGTATAATAACTTCACTTTTCCATCCCAACTTTATATTATGTGGCATTTGAGAAATACAAAGCTGTTAATTTTTTAAATCAAAAAGCATAGAACCTTAGGACTAAGATGGATAGAAAGATAGTAGAAACTCTTAAGAAAAAGAGCAAATCTCTAGCAAATTATCTTCTCTCTAGAGTTTGTGTCTTTTTCTAACCAAGGTTCCCAGTCATTCATTTTGTAACGTTTTACCAGACCCAGTCAGTGTGGAAGGCTTGCCAGGCTGTGTCTTGAATATGACTTGATCCAGACCTCATCATTATTATTGGGCCATGCTCATGTCTGTCCTTCATCAAATAGCCATCTCTGAGACTACAGTTAATGGACTGAGCTGTTTTTCTGACATGTGTTTGGGTTTCCACACATAGTATTTTGAAGCATCATGTGTTATTTTGCATTTATGCCATTAAGTGCATTTTGCTGGTATAATTTCCAGTGATTGGGGTTTTCTTTGCTTTGTTTACACAGTAACGTCGATCTGTGTTAGCAGGGATTGTCGGTGGCCAGTGAGTTAGTTACTGAGTGACTCTGCTCCTTGAGCACTTTGAGTAGCCCTCAGGTTCCATTAGCAGACAGCCTTCTCGTGTACCAGGGAATACCACTCAAGGAGCAGACTGCGCGACTTCTGCCATATTCCTTTTAGATCTGGTTATGCTTTTATGCATAGGCTTCCTCTCAAAGAATTCATCCTGCTTTTAGCAAGATTCCTGGTATATGAACAGCAGAGAAACACCATGTCTCACTTTTAAGTTCAAACCTCTTCTCATGCCAGACATATTGACCACCAGCCGTTTTCTAGGCGTGGGCCTGCAAGCTGCCGTCGCAGCGGTAAGGTGGAGCCCTCCTTTCCCTCCCGGGGCTCCTGCTCCAGCGCACCTGTGTGCTGGGCCTTCCTCCTGGAGTCATCCTTTCTCCCATCCAACTGGGTATACTCTCGGTTTTCCGAGAGTATATCCAGTGTGATCTTTCCTATAGCCGTCATCTCTAGTTCTTCACAGTTATTTTCTCTGTTGCCAAGTGTTTAAGTATTCATTTACTGTTTCTTTTTTTTTTTTATTTTCCTTACTTGTTTGTTTTGTTCGTTAGGTTCCACTTATATCATTTACTGTTTCTTTACACACGTACATTTACCACCATCCCCTTTTTAAAAAAGTTTTTTTGGCCTACTTATAGATTGAAGTTTAAGAATTTTCAAAGCCTACTTTCTGGATAATTAGTTTTACAGTATAAGTAGTTTCTAACTAGTGTTAAGCATGAACAATGTTGTGGTGCCCAGAACACCTCCTTTCCTTGTCACCTCCAGGAAGTTGAAGGTCTTCATTTACTGAAATAAAACATTTATGGTGATCAAGAGATGTTTCTTGGTAATACGCTTCAGTTATGTTGTAGGTTACTGCATGGACAGAGAATGCCACCGCCACATAGTGTTGTTTCTCAGGGCAAGCACTTGGAACAGAATCTCTGTTTATGAGGGCGACTGCTCATACTGCAGCTTTATCTTCTCAGGGCTTCTTGGAGTCTATTTTGATGAACTTAAGTGAAAGCACAGGCCATGAAACACAAAATGTGATAAAGGCCCCTTAATTGTCTCCCAGCAGCAAGAGAATCTTCACTACAACTACAGTAGCTGATTAGATAAATACAGATCTAATGAGTAAGAAAATTTGTCTGAGATCTTGAAGCAGTGTTGGCTGAGGAAAGGGATTGGGGAAGGAATATAAATGTGTCAGTACCTCGGGTTATTTGGCTCTAGTAAGCTTTGGCTTCTTACATAGTCTTAGCTGTGACTGAATTTGATGCAATTGTATATTCCTTCAATTATGGCTTTTGTTTAAGATGGGGAAATTGAATGTTAGTATATTTGAATTATAATCATGCGTAAGTGAATACAGTTGAAAACTGATTTTTTCCCCCAGAACCTGTAAGTCCCATTCTTGGGTAAAAAGGACCCAAGTGTAGACTTTTGGAAAGACTCCTTCAAGTTGCTTTAACAGGTAAAAATCTGGGACTCTGCCAGGCTAGCTAAGTGAGCAGTGCAAAAGCCCTCCTTTGAGCTGACAGCCGCGGAAGCGGGCCTGGAGTGCACCGATTCACCTCGCTGCGGTGATCCCTTTCTCAGGGATTGAGAGGAAACGGTCATTGCAAGTCTTTGTCGACTTTTATTTCTGAACTCTGGTGATGGCTCTGAGAACATGACTCATGATCCATACAACCCAAGGTAAAACATAAATTAAAAAGCATAAATTTGGCTCGTCTTCTGTGCGGACTTTGTGGGAGTCTGACTTTCTGTGATTCCCAGGCACCTATCTCAGTGCCACTATGGACTGTAATTTTTCTGTTTTGAAGACATTTAGAGTGTGCTAGAGGTTATCAGAGGGAGTCTCTTTCAAAATCCAGTTAGTTCTAACCTGACAGAAGAGGAGCTAATATCTGTTGACTTGAGTCCGTTTTTCGTCTGAAACTGACATAGAAGACTCAGGAGATTTCCTGCGCTTCATTCAAACAGGCACTATTGAGACAGAAAAGCACCTGTTTGGGGGCCCTTTCAAAGAGAAATAGTCTTTCTTTCTTTCTTTTTTACATTCAGACTCCTCCGCCCCTGCCAGCCCCTGCCGCAGCTGTTTGTTTTGGTCTGGCACCTTGAGCAGATCCCTGTAGCTGCTGAGCTGAAAGCCGCCCCAGTTCCACACATCGCATTCCTAACAATTTCTCCCTGTGCTGAGATGCTGAGGCGATCTTTGTTCCCGCGGCGTCAGTGCCCCTCTGATTCATGCACTTGGCTCAGTCAGCCGCATGCATGCATCATCCCTCGGATTAAACATTTCACTCCTCCAGATGCTGGGCCTTCTTCCGTGCCCTGTAGTCCAAGGCTGTCAACTCCTGCTCATTTATTTTGATCTTAGAGTAAGTTATTTTTTCCTTTAATGATAATAAGGTGCTCAGGGGCATAGTAAACTGGCCTGATCTTGCTCTTCCGCTGACACCACCCCTGCTTTTGTTAATTCAGTTAAAAGACTGAGTGAAGAGCACCGTGTCCATCTTCTAGCCAATGTCAGGATACACTATCTTAAGGCAGAAGTAAAGCTTACCGCATATGCCGATTTCAGTAGGCATATCCTAGAAATTAAGAATCTTTTTTATTCAACCAACGTGAGTTTGTTCAAGCTTTTCTATACTCCTTGTCCCAAACACAGTTGTACTTTTCAGACTACATTGTGTCCCTATTGTAAAGATTAGTCTGGTTCTTTTTCCAGCTAGCTTTAATTCTATTCTGAAAAACAAGCTGGAAGGGGAACTACAAAAGCCATTTGGCAGGCTGCTATTTCTCTGTCGGTTTCCCTGGAAACAGGGATGGCTGAGTTGGGGGGGGGGGTTATTAGATAATAGCAGGAAGTTTGTGATGCACTGGAGATTTAGATGCCAGAGGCCTTGTTTTTCTAGCATATTGCTCATGGATAAGTTCTGCTTTTACCAGCTGGATTCTGAAAAGATGGGGGGCTTCTGTCTTCCTCGGGGTGATAGAGTTGAGGTAAGGCAGGCATTTCTCTCACCACCCCTCCCTCCAGCACCTCCTGAAGGATATGAACCCTGTTCGCGTCACCAGGAGACCTGGTTGTAAAACCATGTGTAACAGTAGAGGCTCCAGAGCGCCCAGAGAATTGGAGTTCCTAGTGCCTCCCTTGCTAATTGCTTTTATATACGCTACTGGGAAGAGTGGAGTATGAAAAGGTCAGCTCGATCATAAATACTGATATTTTTCCAGAACATTAGAAGAAATGAGGATACTGGAATCCAAAATAATAGATAACTGGCTAGCTTAACTTCGAAGACTGGACAAACCATGTGCAGAATTTCGTGGCATAGTGACAACCTCCACCTCAGCCCCCCAACCCCTGCTGCCGGTCCTGTCACCCATACTGACTGCTCTGTCCCGATTACAGCGTCTGTCCTGAGAAATTACAAGAAATGTTTGAAAGAAATCATTGATAACCATCCTCTTTTTAATACATACCTTAATGAAATTGAGAAAATCAAGTTTTGTTTCCTGTTTCTTTCACTGATATTGGTAAAAAGCACTTATCTGCCTCAGTTATACTTACTCCCTTTTGTAAATGGGGATGATAATTGGTAGACACTTGGTGAGAGTAATAGAAAACTTTTCCCAGGAAAGGCACTGTGCAAGTTGTTGCAATAATCCCCGAATTTGTAAGCTGTTATAAATGGTAGCTGCCGTGGTGACTTTTTAGATGTGGACATTGAAAAAGGAAATGAGAAGCAGTGAAGTTCAACTCCAGGATTCCCTTGGCCTGTGGAACGGCATCCGTTTGGGGAGGAGAGGGAGACTTGGGGAGCGTAAAGTGGCCTACGGGTCAGGA